GTCCAATGGGTGAAACTAATTCCCCATATTATGTACCTGACATTATTCATACCATTATTCGTTAAGGGTCGAGTTTATGTTAATCCTGTTCAAACTATTCAAACCTATTACATTCAATATGACAGATATGTCATTGGACAAGATGGTGCCCACTGGGGCATTGTGGGAACATCTCAGATCCTGCCTGGCATGGCCACAGCCCTTGAAGGAGGCAGGACAGGATGAAACCGCAGAGCCTCAGGACGAGCCCCTTTGGGTCCCCAGGAAGGAGCTCCTGCCCCAGCAGGACCCAGGTAAAGCACTGGATGCAGGGCAGGGCCTGGGTCTGGGGGCCTGAGTGACTGTCCTGCATTTGGGGCGAGAGGCTCAAATCTCTGTCCCTGCGACGCCGTGAGCATTTGTGACCACGTGGCTGGGGTGGGACAGGGCTCTGACCTGCGTGGCTGGGCAGCACCGGGCTGAGGGCCCCGGGCTTTCTCACTGCATGTGTGCAGCACCCAGCAGAAAGATCCCTGAGCTTGGGTGATCCCCGTGGTGCTGCAGTGGTCACATCAATGGTGTAATGGGTGTCCTAACAGTCAGGGGTCTGCTCAGCCCTTTTTCATGCCCCGGTGACCCTCTGTGCCCAAAACAGGGCTGGTGCAGGTGTCGGGGACATGAGTTTGCCCAGTGAGGTTTGGCTGGTACACTTAGCCCAGGCCTGTGTCCTGCTGCAGATCCCCTGAAAAGAGAGGAGACCTGGGAGTGGTCAGCTCATGAAGGCTCCTCAGGCTGGTGCCCCAGAGCAGGCCCTTGTCCAGGAGCAGGTAAGGAGCCGTGTTTGCACCTTTTCTAGTAGCAGGAGGCATCATCCATCAAAGGAAAATCTCTTTGCCAGAACGTTTTGATGGGGTCAGTGCTCCAAGAGGCTGGGTTTTTGCATTTTCCCAGTGCCCCTGGAAGTCTTTCACACACCTTGGAGCAGGCAGACCTTGTATTTGCCTTCCCCCTACCTTTAGGCCTCTGGCTGCCTTATTCCCAGGCGGGTACAGGTGAACAGCAGGGTTTTCCCCGTGCTGGCAGCACCCGGGCTAACTTGTGCATTCTGTTCCCCACTCAGCAGGTGCAGGGACCCCGAGCAGAGCTGAGGAGGAGCCTCATGAGGAAGGGCCTGGAAACCTGGAACTACAGGGGACTCCCCCATGGAGACTGGGGGAAGAGGGCTCCCTGACACCTGATCCAGGCCAACTGCACGTGGGGCAGGACAAACCCCCAAAGCAGAAGGTGAGGAGACACCAGCTTCAGTCGGGGTTGGGACTGCAGCTCAGGCAGAGACCAGAAGGAGCCAGTGGTGCAGGGAAAATACAGGGAGTGGAGAGACCTAAATAGTGAAAGGAGGAGGCTTCGTTGGTGACAGCAGCTACAACCGCACCAAGCTGGCATTAGCTGGAGCTGGCTCCCCAGTGCAGGTAGCGAGGGGTGCTGACACTAGAAGGCTGGGTCAGGATCTGTGGAGCCAGAGCTCCCTCCTCTGGAAACACTCCTTAGGGTGCTTCTGAGGAGTGCTCAGACAGAAGCTTTAAAGACTGGAAGAACCAAGGAAGAGCCCCTCTGGGGACTGAATGATACCCAGCCAGCACCAGGGAGCATGGTGCAGTGGTCCCTACAGCTGACCCCAGCAAATTGCCTTGAACATGGCTCAGACTATGGAGCATAGAGGGTCACTTTAGCTGATGCCAGCAGGATTTCTCCAGCACAGCCAGTGACAAAGCAGCTTCATGGTCAGGTAGTTTGGGAGGAGTGAGCAGTGCACCTGGTTGCTAGACATCACTCTTAATCCAAAGTGAGGTAGACGGAAGGATACGTTTGCACCTTACAAACTAACTGAATCAGAGATGCATACAATAGGACTTTGTGAGCCCAACTCATTTAATGAGATAGTCTGTCCTGTGCAAATCTCACTATCAAGTAGAACATGTTTTATATGCTAAAGATCAAGAAAGGAGGCAGGGAAGAGAGAACCATGGGAGGAGAGACGGTGCTGGGAGAGGAAAACAAGTAAAGACCCTAAATGAGAATGGTAGAGATGGGGACTGTGGAGGACACGGGCCGTGTGGGCTGACATCCACGGGGGTGGCACGAGCCATTCTCCACTTAGACGGCTAAGACCCAAATCTTTGCATCGCAGAGTAAGTACAGATCAGGGCTGTGGGGGCTGGAGGCAGCTGGAAGAGAAGATGCTGATAGTGTAATGCTTGTGACGGCAGCTCCGGGAGGCCTTTGAGGACATGGCAGTGTACTTCACGCGGAAGGAGTGGGAGCTGCTGGAAGAGGAAGACAAGGAGCTTTACCGGGACCTGATGCTGAGGAATTACCAAGCTCTACTTTCCCTGGGTAAAGCTCTGCTTCTTGCTTCTCCCTGGAACTGTGAGCTCTGAATTTTGTTGCCATCTCCCTGTTTTTCAACTCTCAGATCCTCCTGGACTTTTGCCTGGTAGTTTAAATCCACTTCCTTCCCACTGCTCTGTCAGTGATGAGGCCTCTTGTATTTTGTATTTATAATATCCTGTTTCATCTGATCCTTTCATCTTCATTTACCTCTTCCCCAATTGTTTAACTCCTGGTGCTTCCATTTTCAGCAGATTCTTGGTAAGATGATCCTTTTGCCTTCCCAGCGTGTCCCTATCCTCTCCAATTCATTGGCTATACAAATTCACTACGAGGAATAATAACTCCTTGGAGAATTATTCTGATTTCCTCCTGCTCTTGCCTTAGGTGTCCTATACAAAGACAGGTAGCAAATCCTAGGATGCTCAGTTTGGTGCTATCTAAACCCTCCTCCGTTGGTTACCACCCAGAAGAAGTTAATGGAAGTCCTAATCAGCCTCTGCTGCTACAACAGATGGATTAAGTGTTTTCTCAACTTCTTCTCTAGTGATGCATGTACCCGTGATGGGACCTGGGTACTTCTCACAAGGACTCACTGGAAGCTTCTGTCCACATTCCTTCCTGACATCTTCATTTCCATAGATCAAAGCCTCTGGCTTTGTGGTATTTACTTTGAGTTATGTGCTCTCAAGCCCACTCTGCCATTCACAAAAGTTTTCTTGTCCTCCTAAAATCTGCTGCATATCAGATGCTCATCACTGTCATTAAAAATAAGTGGGATAGGTGCATGACCTAGTTAAAAACCAGTTTTCATTTCCAGAGGATGTCTAATACAGGGGCTTGTTCTGGCTTCAGTGAAAGTTTGTGGTACTTGGCTTTTACTAGGCCAATTTGCTCTGCTGGTGCTTTCTTCCCCCTCTATTTCACCCAAAGAGTTTCCTCAGGGAAATGCTCAGATGCTTTTTCTACCTTATCAAAGGCCATATAGACCATTTCTACATGATGGGACTTCACATACTGTAAAATGTGTCTCCTTCTGCCTTCTTATGTCCATATCCTTGACTCCGAGGATCTTAGTTTCAACCCCAGCAGTACTTGCAAACCTGTCTACTCATGTCCCCTTGTGGGATGATCCTCCCCCCGGATGGGACCATTGCTGTAGTTGCAGCTTGAGTTCTTATAAAAACATCCTTTCCTGGGTCCCATTAATGAACTACCCCTTTCCCCAGGAAAAAAGAAAAGTTTAATTGTCAGCCATCTGTCATGGACTTTTTTCATTGCCACAGGTTCTCACTATAAACCTTCCCTGGGGATAAACTCATTTATGATACAAAGATACAAGGATAAACTCATTTATGATACAAAGATATCTGAAATCACAGAGCTATTATGATGTTATGCATTCATCAATGTCCAATTTCTATTAATTTTGGTACCTTGAAAATAGTAAAACCTTTATTTTTCTGCTTTCGATTACATCACAGATCACTGCATCTCCACCTCTGTCCCTGGTGACCACGGGTCATCTACATGTGAAATTAATGCAACGCAATAAACTCCGGAGCTGTTCACGTTGATGTTAACTTCCCCCAGGTACAGCATCTACATGTGCAACTGGGACCGCAGCAGCTTGAGCCACTGCAGAGCAGACCTGAGCTGACAGTGGGCATTGGGGCCAGCCCTGGGCTCTGTGTGGCAGTGTTTGGTGGCAGAGGAGCTTGCTGGCGTGTGAGGGTGCAGAACCTGAGAAGCCATGTGGCTAGGAGGCAGGCAGCCCCCCCACTTTAGCACCTTGTACCCTAGATAACTATCTACACGTGGAATACAGTGCAGTTACTTACTCCACTCTCCCCAACAGCACTGTCTTACAGCGGAGTTAACTTACTGTGCTCCAGTACTGGTGCACATGTGGACAATCGCACTTCACTGTGGAGATAATTAGTCAACTGCACAGTAAAGTGCACGTTATAAATGCACCCTGTTAGTTGCGTATCCTTTTTATACTTCTGAGTGGTCGGTGCTTTGTTTCCCAGGACCATCTCTTAAGGAACTTGTGTTCCTGGGGAAGCCAGGGAGGCTACTCGGCTCCTGTCCTGCTCTGGCTCTGGGGACCCTCCCTGGACTGCCACGTCTTGATGTTCTTAGTGCAGTGTGGAAGGGAGGCTGCCCCAGGGCCCTAGAGGGAGCTCCATGTTGGCCTGTGCCAGCAGATCCCCTTTGACCCTGTTGGATTCACTCCAGTCCTTGGATTTAGCTGGCCGTCCCAGCCCATACATGTCTTCCAGGACACCTTTTGCATTATGGGCTAATCACAGCCTCTGAACCTCTCTTAGGGCTGTGTCCATGCCTCACAGGTGTTACTGACTCACAGTTGGGTGTGGGAATTTTCTCTCAAGCCAATGTCTGACCATTCTAGGCCTCCCCACCCTTGCCAGGGCCTTGGCCTTCCCAGTTTCCTCTTACTGGCCCCTTGCTACCAAGGCCAGCCCCACCAGGCCCAGCTCCTGGGTTCCTGCCCTGTCACTTCAGTCCCTTTGGGCTATGCCCCTTGCTTCTTGTTCTGGTGGCCTGGCCCCAGTGTTCACCCCTCACCAGCTACAGGTTCATAGATTCATAGATGTTAGGGTCGGAAGGGACCTCAATAGATCATTGAATCCAACCCCCTGCCATCGCAGGACAGAGGGCTGGGTTCAAATGACCCCAGCCAGTTGCCTATCTAACCTCCTCTTGAAGACACCCAGGGTAGGGGACAGCACTACCTCCCTTATCGATTCATAGATGCTAGGGTTGGAAGGGACCTCAATAGATCATTGAGTCCAAGATAGATCATCAAGTCTGAGTCTCTGACCTTGGTTGTCACCTCTTTCACCTGGGTCTCTGGGCTACAGGCTCCTGGCCCTTGTCCTCACCCCACTTAGGCTGTGGTTTTGCCCATAATGGGCACCGTGCTCCAGTCTCTCGCTCCTCTGCTCTCACTCTCCCTGGCCTGAACCTTGTCTATCCACAAGTCCTCTGGCTGTGACAGAAAACTGTCCCCCACTAGGTTCCAGCCGCTTCCTGGCTTAACCGTGCTGCTGTCCTCCATACTGGGCCCTACTTCCCTGGGTGGCAAGCATCTAGTTTTCAGTCTCAAGGCCTCTCCTGTCAGCCAGGCAGTCCCCGTTAGCCACCCTGTCATGGAGCTCTTTCTTCTGCAATTTGCAGGGCCAGACTGCCTGCCCTGGCTCAGGACCTGGCTTTTATCTCACTCCTGCCCTGACCACTTCTGGGCAGGTGTCTTATTAGCCCTGGCGCAGCTGTCTTCCCCCGTTCTAATGGGCAGCCTGTTGCTGCCCTGTTTCCTATCGCTGTAGCTCTACTGCTTCAATAGACTGTCCCCCCACCATAGTATTGCTGGGTAGCTAGCACAGCAATTGCCACTTTGGGTGTGTCTACAGGTGACGCTACGGCACAGTCGCAATGCTGTATGATGATGTAGCATCCACTGGTGTCTACATGTGACCAACAGCTATTCACCATAGCGGCATGCTCCCCTGTCATAGCGTATCGCTACTGCAGAGTAGCAGCTACATATAACCATGTGATGGCCCAGTATGGGCGGTTACTGTAACATGCTTTAGTAATTCCAAAAGGAAGTATTAAAGCATGGTGTAGTAACAATGTTGCTATAGAGCAACGTGTAGGCGCAACATTTGGCTTCCTATTCCCTTGTAGGTCCCCTTTATTAGGCTGCCTGAATGCTGTTTACTGCTGTTTTCCCTTTCAAAGTAGCAGGAGCCATAGGCTCCCTGTTACCCTATCCTTCCACTGCGTGAGTGACGAGGACCATCTATGGAAGGCTTTTCCCTGCAGTGCTTTCTCTTTTATCCTACATGTCCACCCCCCTTTTCCTTCAAGGCCCTAGTAGGATCCTTGAGTTCATTCGATCCAATCCCCAAATCCCCGTTGGTTCTTCTCCATCCAGTACTCCGTCACGAACACTCTTTAACTACTGCCCCAAACAGGATATCAAGGTCCGACACCTGACTTAATCTGCCGCATCGAGCAAGGAGAGGTGGATCTCTGGGTTTGTGATGATGAGAACCATGGGGAAAACTCAAAAGCTGAAGACCTCTTGCCAGGTGAGTTGTTGCAGACCCTTCCACCTGACTCCGCTCTCAGAAATGCTCAATACCCAAAGTGAGGCGGGGACCTGGAAACTGCAGACCTGCCCTGTGCTGCCACTCGGGGATACTAACCTCCAATTGCTTGTTCTCTAATATGTCCAGCTAGGGGTTGTTTCCATTCCCAGAATCCTTTTTCCTCCTGTTAGAGGACAGTCAAGTTTCCTGTCTTGATTTTTAGGCACAGGCCTGGTTCCCCTGGGATAAGATTATCTTTATCTTTCTTTTTCTATCTTCACTTAGCAGTGCAAGAGTTGATTTCCCAGCCCATGGTAGCTAACACCCTCTTACCAGGGCATGATAGGATTTGTGGTCCCCCATAGAAATCAGTGTGTTTGGCCAAAGCTCTGCATTGTCATTTTTGTTGGACAAGAGGCAGGCTGGGGCTCTCCCTTGTTTCTTCTGGTTACGTAAATGTGGTACCCAGAAAGTATTTAATAAAGGTCTCAGCCTGCATAAAATAGCTCTATGTGGTGGTTGGGATTCACAAGCTTTTGCGTTGGCTGGGAGAAGTGAATCATTTTATGGTTTGCACCAAAATCTCCCTCTTTCTGTGCCATGTCTGTGACTGTGTGTGTCAGAAGCCTTGGGACTCGGCACAAAGTCTACATGTAGGTTAATGTCTGTACCTCTGAAGCATCTAGTCCTAGGTAAGGCCATGCTCCCTAAACATTCATGTCTGCTGACAGCTTCCTGATCTCCATCATAAGGCTGTTCACGCTTTTTCCCAGATGCTGCTCTCTGGACAGCCATGCATCAAGTGTGAGCACTGGGGATGAGCCCTGAGCAGTCTCACAAATGCACTGTGGCTGCTGGAGCATGCCAGCCCCATCAGGTGGAGTGCTCGGTATCATCTCCGTCACCCATCGGTGCTGTGGTATAGAGCAGCCCTTAGCCTCATTCTTCCTTTAAGCAAACGCTTCTGATCTCATGCTCAGCCTCTTAGTGCATGAAATCATTCAGGTACTGTCCTAATACACATCCCTCACGTGATTCTTCCAGAGGACTCTGAGGTGATGGGGCTCAGAGCTGTGACACAAGTCCTCCAAGTTGCAGAACAGTAGGATTTTATATGGACCTTCCCTCCCTCTCCCCCAGCACTTGGGGTGCTAGAAAAAAGAGCTTACTTAAGTAAATACAAGTACCAAGCTCCAGCCCTACTCTGAGGTGCATCCCACCTGAGGGAACAGCAGCTTTTCTCCTTTTGTGGCAAGGCAGGGCTAATCCAGAGTTTTTTTTTTTCCACCCAGGACCTTCCTTGATGCTGAGCAGAGCTGAGGAGCAGCCCCCAGAAGAAGGGCTGGTAGATCTGCAGCCACCACAGACGTCCCTAAGTAGATTAAGAAGGAGGGACCCCCCAAGTCCCAAGAAGGACCATCGGCATAAGAGGCCAGGCAGGTCCCAAAACCAGATGGAAAACATGTTGTTGAACAAGGTACTGACTCCTCTTGGGTGTGAGAGCGGAGCAGAGATGAAGCTGAGCAAGAGCCAGGGTTACAGGGAAGAATTTGATAGGCTGAGAGAGAGGAAATATCCGAAAAGAGAGATTCACCAGGGAGAGAGAGTTCATCCAAACTCTGCTACTACGGTGGGCCTGAGGGAGAAGCTGGAGCTCACCACCAAGCTCAGGGAGAGGGCTGAGCTGACCTCTGAGTGCCGGGAAACTTTCAGTTGCCCATCACAGCACCAGCACATCCACTCAGGGAGGAAGACAATCCAGTGCAGGACGAACTACACCGGCAGGGAAGAGCTGTCCTGTCACCAGTGTGTGCACAGCGGGGAGCAGCCATCCCACTGCACCAAGTGTGAGAAGAGCTTCAGCCAGATGTCCAAGCTGGCTCTGCATCAGCTCATCTGCACCGGGGAGAAGCCATATCAGTGCTCTGTGTGTGGGAAGAGCTTCACCCGCTCCGCAAGCCTGGCTGGGCACCAGCGCATCCACACAGGGGAGAAGCCACATGAGTGCTCTGCATGTGGGAAGCGCTTCACACACTCCTCCAGTCTGTTCTACCACCAGCGCATCCACACAGGGGAGAAACCACATCAGTGCCCTGAATGTGGGAAGAGCTTCACCCAAGTCTCCCACCTATCCCGGCACCAGGAAATCCACACGGAGAAGAAACCACATCAGTGCCCTGAGTGTGGGAAGAGCTTCACTGAAGCCTCCCAACTTGCCCAGCACCCACACATCCAAGCAGGCGAAAAGCCACATCAGTGCCCTGAGTGTGGGAAGGGCTTCACCCAAAGCTCCCACCTGGCTCGGCACCGGCGCAGCCACATGGGGGAGAAGCCACATCAGTGCCCTGAGTGTGGGAAGGGCTTCACTCAAGCCTCCCACCTGGCCCGGCACCAGCTTATCCACAAAGGGGAGAAGCCATATCAGTGCCCTGATTGTGGGAAGAGCTTCATTCGCTCCTGCCACCTGGCCCAGCACCGGCATGTCCACACAGGGGAAAAGCCACATCGGTGCTCTGAGTGTGGGAAGAGCTTCATCTGGTCCTCCCAGCTGGCCCAGCACCAGCATATTCACACAGGGGAGAAGCCATATCAGTGCAAAGAGTGTGGGAAAAGCTTCGCCTTCTCTTCCCACCTAGCCCAGCACCGGCACATCCACACAGGGGAAAAGCCACATCAGTGCTCTGAGTGTGGGAAGAGCTTCATCTGGAACTTCCAGCTGGTCCAGCATCAGCGCATTCACACGGGGGAGAAGCCATATCAGTGCAAAGAATGTGGGAAGAGCTACACCCTCTCTTCCCACCTGACCCGGCACCAGCGAACCCATACAGGGGAGAAGCCATTTCAGTGCCCTAAGTGTACAAAGAGTTTCACGGAAGCCTCCAGCTTGGCCCAGCACCAGCGCAGGCACACAGGGGTAAGGCCATTTCAGTGTCTTCAGTGTGGAAAAAGCTTCACGCAGTCCTCCCACCTGACCCGGCACCAGCAAATCCACATAGGGAAGAAGCCACATTAGTGCTCAGAGTGTGGGCAAAGCTTCACTCTCTTCTCCCAGCTGGAAAAGCACCAGTGCACCCACACCCAGGAGCATCCATAAATCTGCCAGCACTGCAGGATGGACTTGGGGATGTCTGTGTGTTTTGCACCCACCAGTAGTTGCATGCTGCCAGGCAGCTTCATCCTGGGAAGAGTGCAGGAAGAGTTCACCCTGCCCTCAGCCTGTTTAGGGCACCACAGAGCTCACAACATCTAGAAGTTGATGTGAAAAGTTTGATTTTTGGGTGGAGGCTAGGAAGAAATACCTGAGGCAGAGGCTAGCCCAGATGTTGGGGGAACCTCTGAGTTATTATCTTTGCATCAGCCTTAGACCAGATACATTCTCCTTTATTCTTTGTGAGCAATCAGTGGTCCTGGGGGAGAAGTGCACTAACTTTAGGGTTCCCTCCCAAGACTACTGGCTCCATATTACACTCGGAGACTGACCTGTGCTCTGTCCTCCATGCTGGTCCCAGGGTCCTGGTGAGGCTCTTGAGTTGCAGAGAGAAGAGCGTTAAAGGTTGGCAAAGCATTTCTTGCTCTCTGCCCTGACCTTGTCTTTCCTTACCACCACCATGACCCCTCTCCCAGACCTGCTCATGCTCATCGGGTGTCTGCAAGCTGCTGTTGCTCCTGCTGTCGCTGCCTGAGCCAAGTTTAGCAGCTTTTGCTTTTTAGCCTCTCTCCTCAACTCTGCACCACCAGGTGCCAGTTGCTTCCCCTGCCCTCCTTCCCATCATCCCATTCTCTGCAATGGATTCCTTTGTACTAAAGCCCCAGAACTGAGCATGTTGGGTCCCTGTGTTGTGTCTCCATGTTCTCTCCAGAGCTGTGAAACAGAAACAAGCCAGGGGCTGGAGCCTTTTTCATGGCAGATGATTCCCAAGCCCTTCCCTTTTGAGAGGGTTCACCACAATCAAGAGCTTTTTCCTAATACTCAGGAGCGGGGGTTGTCACACCGGAGGCATTGCTCCTACATAGTGCTGTACAGCAAGGACCCTGTGCTGGGGGGTTTTGAAGGAAGCTCTGCGCAGGAGTCCCTTTTCTGGGTGAAAAGAGGTAACAGGCTGAACGAGGTGCAGCCTGTGCAGGTTCTGCTTCTCCTTTGGAAGTGTATTGAAAGCAGGAGGGAAAACACGAGGAAGAAAGGTGTGAGGAGAATAGAGGAGGAGTTTGAGCAGGAAAAAACAGAAGCAAAGATGGTGAAGGAGAGCAGTGCCAGGACATGATTTTTGAGGAGTTGCTCTGGCTGGATAGGTGCTGGAGGAAGGAGGAGGAAAGGGTACAACAGGCGGCGAGTACCTCAAGAGCAGGGAGAGAGGTGGGGCAGACTCCGAAGAAGAAAGAGAGGAGGGGATGGGATGGCTCACTGAAAGTGAAATCAGAGAAGTGAAGGATTGGCAATTCCTGGTGAGAGAGGTGCTATATAGCACACAGGGGCATGGGTGATGGGGTTTTCCAGACATCCTCTTGTTTATCTTTGCAAAACGTATCAGCTTTTCTTGCACCTTGGTAGTGGGAGGTAAATCCCAAACCACGTTTTATCAGAGATCACGTGAGGAGATCATGTGTGGAGAAGACAGGGAGTGGGCACATACCCGAGCACAAAACCTTCAGCATTACAACTGCCAGCATTTTATGCCGTCTTGGAGGCGTTCGAGAATAAATAGAACCGGCAGCAAGCAGGGTCCGTACTTGTCCGGTCAAAGGACCGCCTCACTCTGGTGGGACACCTGAATGAGGAGAGATCAAAATGGCTGTGTGTGACACTTTTAAGGTGGACTTGTTGGAAGAGCAGAAAGATTTGGAATGGCAAATGGTGCACCAAATCCTTCTAGTTCAGCACCGACAGGAGACTTGGAGATCAGAGAGTGAAATGAAGAGCCCAAGGCTAACTGTGCAGAGGAAGGATCTCAGAGGCATGTCTGGGAATGTCATGTTAAGAAGAGGGAATGGACCGGAGTGGGATGCCTTCTTGAGACGCTGGTGTAGTTATGGACTGTGACACACGAGATGGTGCACTGGGAGAGTTCCCACAACCTAGAAACGTGCGTGCAAGGAGAGGACGAAAACGGCTCATTTGTCTTAAAAAAGTGATTTGGAACTGGAGAGATTTGATTGTGCATAGACATGTCGAAGCAGCAATCAGAGACATTGTAAAAGTAGGCTGAATAAGTCAATGCGGCACTAAGGGAACAAGAGGAATCGGGGAAGGGAAAAAGCTTTTCGGGGGGGGGTTTGGTTTTTGTTTAATTTTTGCACTCCCCACATGTGAAGAATATGTTGTGTTAAATTAGGTTTCAAATGGGGAAATGGATGAATTTGTGTGTGTGTGGGAGACAGAGGTGTTTTCATGTTAAATATAATGGGTTGTTGGGTACAGTAAATTAATTTTTTTGTTAAAAGAAGGAAAATGTTTTATATTTTGCTGCTGTAAAAAACACGGACAATAATAACAGTAAGAATTATAATAATATTTCCCAGCCTCTGCACCCTGATTCCACATCTGACCACCCATTGCTGACCCTTCACAAACACTGGGAGCTTACAGAAGTTACATTTTTGCACAATTAACCATCACCTAACAAACATACATGGCTGCAGATCCATTTTTAAATGGCTGTGTGCACAAAAATAAAGGAGCCGTTGTTAAATCAGCTGTTGGATGAAGGCACATAAAGACAGAGCGCCTTAACAAGCTTGCATACAGTTTATTGCAGGGGCGTATTTCAATTTTCTGGCAGTTCTACCCACATACCATGTGCATAGGCATGCAAAGGACTCTGCTCTAGCCTGGAACCAACAGAGTTTGTCTTTGGGCCTGCCCCAGTGCCTGGGCTGGATCCCTTGTCAGCTGTCAATGCCTTTTCCCAGTCCTGCCTCTCCCTCGGACCATCTGAGTCTTGGAAGGGGGATGGTCTTGCAGACAGTCTTCACAGTTGCATGTGGTCTGGGGGGGTGGGAGAGAGAGAGGGGAAGAGTGACTAATCCCTGCACAGCTGCCTTGCTAGTTTGGCCTGGAGGAGCAATCCTCCTCCCTGGGCTCCTCTTTGCATGGGGTGGGGATAGAGAGAGAGCCTGGGATCCAGGAGGCAGAGTCTGCTTGCAGCTGGCAAATCATTCTCCGGGGCGGAGGGGAACCCCTCCTGGCTTCCTCGCTGGTTCCAGCCAATGGAGCAGGCCACTGCCCGGACATCCCCTGGGTTGCGGCGGCTCTTTGCCAAGAGAGCACCAGGGACCCAGCAAGGATAGCCCCACAGACAGCTTGCCCAGTTGCACTGACTAATCCCCGCCTGGCTTCCTCACCAGTTCTGACTGGCAGTGCAGTCCCTCTCCCTGGGCTTCCCCTGGGTGGGGAGGAACCGTCTGTGGGGGGAGAGCCCGGGAGCCAGGAGCAAGAGCCTGCTGACGGCTGGTAAAAATCACACTATAGGAGGGGAGGGGAACCGTGCCAGTGGGGCAGACACAGCCTCACTACCTGGGATCCCCTCGAGTTGGGGGCTCTGCAGAGAGAAGGAGACTGGGGTCTATCTGCTGTCAGATAGATCTCGTATGCATCCTGTCCCGTTGTGCTGTGTGGGGAAGGCTCTCTTCCCAAAATACACCTTGGAATGCATCCTGACAGCCAGGACGAGCACATGCACAAGCTTCTGTTGTCAGAGTCTCCCTGCTGTGTGTCTTGGTCATCCCTCACCACATCCTGGTGCCTGACTTCCTACGCACAAGCAGGGATACAAAAGAAGCAACCGCGGGTCCTGCTGATCACCCTGCGGGATTTGCCAGGGACTGCAGGACATCACACATGCCCAGCTGGACCTGATGAGACAACGGGTATCCCTGCAATGCAGCCTTAGCCTCACAAGCATGCAGCTGGCAGTCCTGAGTCTTGTCACCCCACCTCCATGCCCAGCAAGCATCCTCAACTCTGCCTCTGACTTTCTCATGGTTGGTGAAGATGAGGCTATCCTGGATGCCATGTATGCCAGGGTGCTCCCACACCACCTCCAGACTTGAGAGCAGTGTCTGGATGCACCCAAGACCTGACTAGTTTGAGACCTGCATGCACTAGGCCATCTTCATGGATGTTGTCACCTAGGTGGCCTCCCACATTGTGTCCCAGAACACCATTGTGGCCAACACTCACTCTAGAGAAGTGGGTTGTCATTACTGGCTTGAAGCTAGTCATCCCTTCCAGTCTCTGCTATGTTGCCAACCAGTTTGGTGTGGGCAGGTCCATGGCCAAAGATGCCACCTGGGAGGTTGGCCTGGTCATCCAGAACTTCCTGGTGAATCGATTTCAGGCTCTGGGGCCTGGGAGCATGGTGACCTCGCCTTGTGGGGTCTGCTCCCTTTTGGGGTCTCTGGCGCGCCAGCTGGAGGAGCTCCAGGCCACAGTCCAGAGACTGCGTGCCATCAGGGACTGCAAGCAGGAGATAGACTCCTACTGCCAGGCCCTTCTCCCCCGGGAGGCAGAGGGTAGACCACAGTCCCCCTCCACGCCAAAGGAGGACTTTGGGACCTCCTGCTGTGTCCAGCCAGGGGCATGGACCACAGTGGGCAAGGGCCCTAAGGCCCACCGCACCAAGGCCCCTACTCCACCAGAACTGAGCAACAGGTACGCACCTCTTGCTGCCCCAGCAGAGCCTGCTGAGTTGCCGGCCCCCACAGGCAACATGGTCCCAACTGCAGCTACCGCCCCTGCTCTCCCCAAGACAAAACGTAAGGTGTTTGTTGTGGGAGACGCCCTCCTGAGGGGGACTGAGGG